TTGTGTTCAAATAGTTTTACTATTGGTTTCTAGAGTGGTGTAAAATATCTGTAAAAAAAAAAAAAGCTAAGATTTAGTCCCTCAAAGACTATTTCATTGTTTTTATGCCACAAATTTAGGTTTTTTTTGTCAAGTGACTAGTTTTAGGAACTTTTTGATGAAGAAATGTATTATTGGTTTGATGGTTTTAGGAAACTGTTAGTAGTGGTCCTTTTGTTATGAGGACCACGTGTCGAAGTTGTCATGGGACTCGTATGTACATCAAGTTCCCCTGCACTAATTGTGAAGGCAAGGGGACAACTATACAAAGAAAAACTGTTACAGTACCAGTACCTGCAGGTGAGATAAAAATATTCTAGCTTCATGCTAAATTTTCTTAACCGTTCCCTATCAGCAGTTATTTTATTATATAATTGTGTCGGTAGTATTGTTCTGTTTTGGTTTGATCTACAAAATAAAAAATACTTGTTGTAAAACAGATAAAAAGTAAAACTTAAATCAATTGATAGGTGATCTGATTATTTTTTTTCCACTCGAAATAAGTGCCAAATGTATCAGATTTATCAACACACAAAAAATGTCCAGTGCATGGCTGACATGTGCCCAGTTGTAGAGAAGTAAATTACAAAGTTACAATTAAAAGGAAAGAGTTTCACATTAATGAGACAAACTTAGCTATTGAGGTTCTTAAAATAATGCTTTAAAAGTTTTATTTGGTAACAATTAACCTCTGTTATGTTATAAGTTACTAATTTCCAAATTTGTGTTGTGCCATTTATGCTTTTGTCAACAATTTGTACTCAAGTATGTGTTTAGGTCTTTAATTTATATGCAGGTGTGGAAGATGGTCAGACTGTAAGAATGCAAGTTGGAAAAAAAGAATTATTTATCACATTTAAGGTAAATATCTGTTTTTAGTTTATAAAACAATTGAATAAATGTAAGAGATCTTTAATCAAAGGTTTCACCAGATTTTAACTGTTTGTACATTCTTAGACATAAATTCACCCTTTGCGAATCAAACTTCACTTTCCTTGGATTTTTTGTTATTGTAATATTAGAGTTAGTTTAATCATTTAATTCATAAAATACAAGACACCCAGATAAGAAAGTTGCAAAAATAATTTTTTTTAATTAGGTAAGTCAACATTATATTGTGAGCTAACTTGATTAGAATACTTTACTTTGCTAAGTAGGTATTTTAATTAAATTTGTAACAATTCACACTGTGGTAGCAATAAAGAATTTATATAAATATTTTTTAGAACAATAGAATAGGAATCCTAAATATTAAAGCAGGTCCAGCTATAGAAATATCTTTAAATTTGTCTGGTCTTCCTTTATGATATGTTTGTACTAAGGATTAAAAGAACAAAAAAAACTTACAAATAGTGGCTTCAAATAATAGGATGTTTACAAATAGTGCATCCATGCCAAGTCATAATTCATTTATTGCAACCAAGATTCTAAAAATGGATGTAACAGTATATAAAAGCATCATAAAGTATTTTTAATGCTAAACCCTAGAACACTAGAAAAATGAATTATTGATATTAGTGAACACTTTATGTGTAATGTAGTTTGTCCAAACTTTTTAAAGTTATCTAAGAACAAAGTGATCTACTCTGAATATATCTGTAAATAGTTTAACTCTTTCTTGCCAATTGACATTATACTGGCCAAATATGATTTTCAGTCATAGAATTTAATGACTCATTAACATTACCATGTCCAAACATAGACATTTCAAATAAATAGAATGATAAGCAGTGAATGTTTTTGAATTTAAGTTAAATTTTGTGTTAAATTCACAACTTACAATGAAATGAAAACCAGCATGTGACATAGCTGTAAGTTATTCCCTTATGCAACACTTCTGTAATGAATCGATGGCCTGAGAGCTATATATCAATCACGCTTAAAGTAATTATATTGTCAAAGGCTCAATGATATCATGTGGTAACCCACTTTGTTGAGAGCAATATTGCAGTAAAGTATCTTCTCAGGCAATAAAACTAAACATGCAGGCAGTAGCACTGGCTGTGTGAGGATGGCTATATATACAGTATCAGGCAGGCAGTAGCATGGCTGTTTAAGGATGGCTATATATACAATATCAGGCAGGCAGTAGCACTGGCTGTGTAAGGATGGCTATATATACAATATCAGGCAGGCAGTAGCATGGCTGTGTAAGGATGGCTATATATACAATATCAGGCAGGCAGTAGCACTGGCTGTGTAAGGATGACTATATATACAATATCAGACAGGCAGTAGCACTGGCTGTGTAAGGATGGCTATATATATATATACAATACCAGGCAGGCAGTAGCACTGGCTGTGTAAGGATGGCTATATATGTACAATATCATGCAGGCAGTAGCACTGGCTGTGTAAGAATGGCTATATATATATGTACAATATCATGCAGGCAGTAGCACTGGATGTTTAAGGATGGCTCAGATTGTTCATCAAAATGGTATTTTAAATATCTCCTCAAGAGGTCATTAGAACTTTACAATACTGTACAGTGTTTCCTTTTACTACAATATTTATGTAGTGAATGAGTCCCAAGTTCTGGGAATGTCTGTAAATATCATAGCAAAGAGTTTGAATTTCTTCTTCTGCTTTTTGATTACATGATAACTCAAAAACCAAAACAATGGTGTGAACCAATTTCAATGAGACGACATAGCTTCAAACAGAGTATCTGCCTTTGTAAGTATTATTAACTAGTAGTAATTAAAAAAAAACATTATACTAGTGTCAATCATGTCATCATTACCCTCCTGAAGTCTGCTTTCTTAACAGAAACCTTGTGGTCCTTTAAAAAGCTTAAGTACTGGGTGAAACAGGAATTTTCAGCCAATAATATATAAACAATAAATATTACAATTGGAACCTTATTATATTTAGAATTTGATTATAAATACAACTTTCCTGTGTCTATTGAAAGACTGCAGTAAAAAACAACAACAAGCAAAGATGTAAAGAAAAAACTTTTCAAAAAAGGTAGTAAATATAGGGATGGTTAGTATCAATCCTTCAAAAACAATGCAAACAAGACATTAGGAATGGCATTTGTATCATCCCTACATGATAGCACAGACAAGAATAAACATATAGCAATATATATAAAACTATATGTTAATTCTGCTATTATTGAAGGATTGATACTAACCATCCCTATATTTACTACCTTTTTTGAAACCCCTCGACGTGGATATGTTAATAATGTGTTAAGT